TATATATATATAATTGACGACAAGACTACAAATACTTATAATCAATTAAAATTTTTAATTAAAAAAATAGAATAACTATATTAAATCCTATTTAAATGAATACTTTAATATAAATATTAAGATTTAAATCTCACCCTACCCATAACACGCTAGGTTGTGTAGCAAGGACTATCAAAATAACTTGTTCGTGAACAGCACATGTTCGGCTCGCCAAGCAAACGAATCGAAAATGAACAAATTTTTTAGACTCGATATATGAACGAGCTGAACACGAGCAGTAATATTTTTTAATGAGTCGAACACGAGATAAGCTTGAGCTCAACTCGTTTACACCCCTAGTCAAAACAGCTCGTTGTTCACGAATAGCTCATATTTAGCTCGCTAAGCAAACTAGTGAAACAAGAACAATTTTTTTGTGTTTGATATATAAACGAGTCAAACAATAATAGTGTTACATTTTAACAAACCTAACATGAGCCGAGCTGGGGCGCTCTCAAGCTCTGCTCATTCACACCACTAGGCAAATATATTGCAAAATATTTTGCGAACCATCATATTTCTAAATTTTACATGGAAGCCGGAGTTTGATCCAAATCAATGATTATAATCAAGTTTAACAAAATTCTAACCTCTTGTTCAAATCCTTGTTTCAGAATATCAATAACCTCTAATTTTTTTAATACAAATAATGAGGCTAATTTTGGAAAAAATAGTGTATGAATCTCAATTTTTTTTATATTTACATATCTAATTACACTTCAAAAATATATCAGGAATGATCATGAGAAGATCTGATGGTTCAGATGAAAAGAGTAAACCCGTTGAGAAGACCATGAGACCCACTTATTTGACTAAGTAAAATTGTTCGAGTTAAAACCAGTAAAACCAAAAACGAATGAAGGGTGCATGCGCGAACAATTTGGATAGAAATGAGGGCAAAGACCATCCTAGTCAACCGTTGTTGGAGAGCCGATTGAAGGAGCGTTCAGTTCTCTAGCATCTTCAGCCATCCCAAAGACATTCAGAGTATCAAGGTTTAAGGATCGACAAAAGGGTCTTATCAATCGTTCGATCCATATCGACTAGAACTCGGTCGACCAAGCAGATCTCTAGTGACTTCGCCGATATTGCCAACTCGAACTCAATTAAACTTAGATGACCAACCCATATAGTAGTTAGACGAAAAGATCATGCATGTAAAATACCATGAATATCAGTACGTCCCCCCTTAGAGTAGGGAAAAATGTAACATCATCACATTATACTCACTCCCCTATAAATAGGGAAATTTTTTTTATGAACAGCACTGTTGACACGACGTTTTATTGTTCACTCATCTCTGTCTTTTTCTCACTTTTCTCTTACTTACGTTATATTTTTTTTAAAATTTGACTTTTATTTTTCCCAAGGTCCTCTGACCACAATAAACCTATCAATCTTGTGTTTATATTCTTTTGACATTTATTCTATTTTTTATAATTTCTACCAAATATCTTAAAAATTAGGGCTTTTGGCCATAGAGGAGTTATCTGACCTTGAAAAAATCAAAAAGCACTCCCAAGCTCACCACAAAACTAGCTCTCAAATTTTCATTTAATCTAGATAATCATTTAATTATTTATGATTTAATTACTCTCTGAAGCATTTAATTAATTTAAAAACAAAAATAAGTAAAACATTTTTTATTTTTTTGGTTCATATTTTTCTCCTCAATTCATTGAGCACATGGGTATTTTTATTTTATTTTTATGATTTTTCTATACCAATATATGAAATTTTAATTTTTTGTAATTATTTAATTCTAAAATATCCTATTTTTCTACTTATCCACGTCAGAGCCACGTCATCATCGACGTTTCCAAACTCACACGCGTCGCGCTGCGATTGGGCGACCTTACCATGCAAGCTACTAACTCAGATTATGGTTCGTGTATCAGCTGTCCATCTGACTCTATATGCGTCGTCCCATTGATACATGCTTGAATGGACGGTATCTGTTCATCAACCCCGACACCTTAAATTGAGAACTGTTTGTGTTCTAACCCTAATATCTCTCTCGATACTCAATCAAATCGCATGGGACATGTTCTTACACCTTCATCTAGGTGAGATGAACCTATATATATGGTTAAATACACATGCAATACGAACTTTATTCATAAAGGTCGAAACTGAGGCAAGATTTAGGGATTTTGAGTTATACCTTAGCCCAAGAGGTGAGGCTTCAATTGGGTTGGTTCTTGAGCTTTGCCTTGGTCCCACGAACCTCTTCGAAATGTTGGTTTGAGTTGTGATGAGGCTTATGGATGATCTCGATCGGAGGGTGGTTCGGGTGATACACCAAGATAATATGTTGTTTTAAGTATATATTTTATGCTTATTTTTTGTGATATTACACTTTAAAGAATGACATTTTCTACACTTTAAAGAATGACTTTTTGTGATATTACACTTTAAAGAATGACATTTTCATGTTTTTGTTACATGTATATCAATTTTAGACATTTTGAGCAAAAGTATTAAAAAAAAGAACGAAATTTGGAGCCAAAACAACGAAGTTTCGAATTCTGATGCATGATGTGCTAGATTGGCGCTGATGCGTCAAAGTGGCGCCAGATGCGTCAAAACCCAGAACAACACGGTCTTAAGCAAACTGGCACATGATGGGCCAGATTGGCGTCAGATGCGCTATTTGACAGAGAGTTGGCGCATGATGCGCTAAGGACAACTTTTTGCAGATTAAGACGGTTCAAGACGAATTTTACATGAATTTTCAAAGGGACACTTGTTCTAAACATCCCTTGGAGTAATTCAATGCATATAGACACTTTGAAAAGTTCTTTTATGAAGGAATATGTCTCTTGGATCAATGGACATGTCTTTTGAATTCAAAAAAGTTGACTTTTGGACAGAATTTTATGGGAAATTCGAATTCTTTTTAGAGGAAAGTTTAGGGCTTGAAGAAGAGAAAAGGAGAGGAGTCTTGGGGCGTGAGGTATATGGCGTGAAGAAGGAGAGTTATAGAGAGAGAGAAAGTCAAGGGCTTGGAGATTTTCTTCAAGGATTGTAAGAGGAGAGGGAAGGTGAGAGATTTCTTCTTCATTACACTCCTAAGAGAGAATTGAGAGTGCTTGTAAAGAGAGAAAGGCTTGGAGAGAACTTCGAGGAGTTTGCTTAGGAAGGATTGTGAGATAAATTGTGTCTTTTATTATTTTATTTTTTTTGTAAACTTGTTTTTATATATGAAATCTATATTTTGTCGTATCCTTCTCATAAATTCTAGGTAGTCTTTTTTATCCTTCTCCCTACTTTGAAGATATGGTTTTGTGAAGAATTGATATCTTCATTTACTTTTCAATCTGGCCAATTGAAATGTTAAAATGTGTTGAGAAATATATGTTCCGAAAGGGCTATGATTTCTACAACATAGGGAGAATCACATTTGATTTCATGACAAAGTATTTCATCTATGGAATTGGGTGCAAATAAAGAGGGAAATATACTTTGTTGAATGCAAAATTGAAGTTTTTAAGGTGACAGATTAAAATCCTTAATTTGGTCCAGTTGATTGGAAACTGATGCAAGATATTTAGCCCTTAGGGGAGGGAGTATTGGGAGCTCTGGAGCGGCAGCCAGTATCCTCTCAGCCTAACACCTCCCAGTATAACCACGAAATTGAGGAACAAACTTTGGGTTAGTCAATGTTCTTTTTAGCACTCGGAATAGAGTAAAGAATAAGATTGCTCCTACTTGGCACAAAACAGTTTATATATATATATTTTTTTTCAAATGATTTAATTTCTTCACAAACCATATACTCATTGTAAAGGGAAATGATGCTTTCTTAAATTTGAACTTTCCATCACAACATCTTAGTTTTAATTTTCGTAATTTTACTTTTGAAAGTTTAGCATTTAGTTTAGTTAACTTTGTCTTTCAATTGCATTTTAATTAACATTCACTTGTTAATTAATATTCAAACTTCACACTTTACTTTTTGTATTTTTAAAATAGTACTTCACATTATAATCTTAGGAACTTATTTACAAGCATTTTCAACTTCCCTGTGGGATCGATATCTAGAACTCCATTAGAGCCCTTTATTACTTGAGTGATACGTATACTTGCGTTATTTTTAAAGAGGATTTGACAGTTTAAAGATTATTAAAAGATAAAACAATTTTAATTGAAGTTATTTTGTTGGGATTAATCTATAATTATATATATTTTACACAACTTACTTTTCATATAAGGATCAAGTTTTTGGCGCTGTAGTGGTGTCAATTTCATAAATTAACACACTAAATCCACCAGCATCAAGTTTTTGGCATTGTTGCCAGGGAAGTAACAAAAAGTAGTAGTAAGTTATTTTATAATTTATAGTGTTCTTTTTCATAAAATAAAAAGAGAGTGTTTGTAGTTTATTTTGAATATTTTCTTATTTGAGTGTGTTAGCTTATTTTTAAA